TGTGATATGGTATAAGGTTTATTTTTGCTTGAAACAGTTCGAAACCGTTCATGCATAAAAAAAGTTCGCTAATAAATTAATCTTTTGTCGATCCGCCGCCGTTTTTTTCATTTTGAAAATACTTGTTTTGGTATTCTTACTAATTAGACGTATTCAGATCGACTTTACTTTTACATTTGTATAACATTAAATAATATTTAACATTTGTAAATATCAATGAATGATATACCTTATTTTTTTTTTCAAATTAAGGTTCTTCATTGTTTGATATTTACAAATGTTATTATTAGGTGAAAATTTAATTTAATAAAAACCAAGGTTTCCAGGATGATTTAGCTGTACCTACTTATATAAATGATTTTTTATAACAACAAAAAATAGTACCCACTAATAACAAGTATCCTTCCATTTGTAACTTATGTTTGATGTCAAATAAACTTAATTAGGTCTAAACAAGTAAAAAAAGCATAAAAAAGAACATTACTTTTACACATGGCGGATTGTCTGTGGCGCTTGACACGCCCGGCGTGACATGAAATATTTGTTCGCCGCCACAGCTAAAAGTTGTCGAAAATTGGTGCCGCAACGAATCGATTAATTTATTAAAAACAAAGGTTTTCCAGGGTGATTTAGCTGTACCTACTTATATTATGAATTTTTTTTTTTATATAAAATATATAGTATTTTATAATCTTTTTATAAATAGTACAAAAGGTTTGTAATCTCTACATAAAAAAAGCCACTTACTCTCAATTTCAAAGAAAACACGGAGTTAACCACTAAAAACAAGTATACTTCCGTTTGTAACTGATGTTTGATGTCAACCAAATGTTTTACGTCTAAACAAGTGAAAAAAAGTCTGTCTGTGGCACTTGACACGCCAGACGTGTTATGAAATATTTGTTCGCCGCCACAGCTAAAAGTTGTCGAAAATCGATACCGCAACGAATCGGTTAACTGTCGAACATCGAAGTACTGAAGTGTTGGTACAGTAGGGCTATGATGGCTATTCGAGTACAGAACCAGAGTACGAAACCTACTATTACAGAGAGGTGTAAGTCAGGGTGACGTTATACCCTCGAAACTTCACCAGTGCATTGAACGACATTTTCAAGCTACTGGACTGGAAAGGGTACGTCCGGTATAAATATAAAGGATAAGCATAGGATAGAACATCAATAACAAGAAAATACAACCAGTGCATGTTGCCATTGAGGACTTAGGGATCTGAGACTGTCCTTCACTGCTGTCCATATGAGGAAGCTCATGGTCGCTCACCGAGCTATGGAGAGGACTATGCTCAGAATAGTAAGCTGAAATGGCAATGAGCCAGCTATATAGGTCGAAGAACCGATAACCTATGGGGAAGCAGTTTTTCTCGAGTCAGTTAGTGTGGTCTCCACTAGATGCGAGAAACGACCTGGTAAGACATGCAGGAAGTCGATGGATGCAGGTGGCTCAGGACCGTGCTTTGTAGCGTTCTTTGGGGAAGGCGTATGTTCAGCAGTGAACTTGTGAAAGGCTGTAATGATGATGATGAATAGAATTTATTCTTCCATGAGAAGATGAACAAAATACTTTTTCAACTAATACATTTCCTTAATATAATAAAAAAATTTGCATTACTGGTTAAACTTAAGAGACATAATATGCATTTTATTATTGTGCAATACTATATAATATAAACTATATAGCAGAATTTTTTCAAATCACGGAAGTATTTATATTACATTTTTACATAGATGAGTAAAAGAACGACTCGACCTGGCAACGTACAACGCACTCACCCTGAGGACTGACGAGAAGATCGTGGAGCTGGAAGAAGAGATAGACAAGTTGCGCTGGCATATTATAGGATTATCCGAAGTCCGAAGAGAGGGGGAGGACACGGTAATCCTCGAATCCGGCAACTTGCTCTATCACCGGGAGGGCGACCATCTGTCCCAAGGAGGTGTCGGATTTATCGTCCACAAGTCTCTCGTTAACAACGTTGTAAAGATCGGGAGTGTGTCGTCGAGGGTTGCGTACCTTATACTCAGAATCACCAAACGGTATTCGCTGAAGGTCATACAGGTTTACGCACCAACCTCGGCACACCCCGATGAGGAGGTGGAGGAAATGTATGAGGATATCTCTAGAGCCATGCATTCCTCCAAAACCCAATATACGGTGTTAATGGGAGACTTCAATGCAAAACTAGGCACAAGAGAGAACGGTGAGCTGAAAGTAGGGAAATTTGGAATAGGGCAACGGAACCCAAGGGGCCAGCAGCTGGCCGACTTCATGGAGAAAGAGGGACTCTTTATGATGAACTCTTTCTTCCAGAAGCGGCCCCACAGGAAGTGGACCTGGTCGAGCCCCGACGGTTCGACAAAAAATCAGATTGACTTCATTATGACAACCAGACGACAACTGTTCAGTGATGTCTCCGTGATCGCGAGGGTGAAAACTGGTAGCGATTACCGAATGGTTAGAGGCACACTGAACCTAAACATTAAGTTGGAGAGGTCTCGTCTAATGACGTCAACGCTCCGTCCCCCTCGTGCTCTGTTCCAAAGTCCCGAAACCTTTCAGCTCGAGTTACAAAACCGTTTTCAGTGTCTAGAAGACTGCAATGAAGTGGACGATATGAATGACAAGCTCGTGGAAACTGTCCATGCGGTCGCAGCTAAGTTCTGCAAGACCCGCCGCAGAAGAACACAAAAACTCTCCGATCACACTCATAATTTCATGGCTGTTAGACGGGAGATGAAGCTACATTCTTCAACAGACTTGACAGCATACAGACATCTGAACAGACAGATCTCCAAATGCATGCGGCGGGACTTACGCAACTTCAATACAGCTCGTATTGAAGAAGCGATCGAGCGGAACCAAGGCTCCAAAGTCTTTGCCAGAGATCTGTCTGCCAGAAAGAGCCAACTGTCAAAGCTGAAGACAGAATGTGGCAGCATCGTTTCCGGGACACCTGAGATTTTGAGTGAGATTGAGAGGTTCTATGGGCAGCTGTACACGTCATCGTTGGAGCCACACGCAAGTGTGAGTAACGATCCAAGAGCGAGTCTCATCCGACACTATTCCGAAGATATTCCGGACGTCAGTCTGAGCGAGATTAGAATGGCTCTCCAGCACCTTAAAAACGGTAAGGCCCCAGGCGAGGATGGAATTACAGCGGAGCTTCTGAAAGCGGGTGGAAGACCGGTACTTGAAGTCCTTCAGAAGCTCTTTAATTCCGTCCTCCATGGTGGCATTACACCGGAGGCGTGGAGCAGAAGTGCGGTGGTCTTGTTCTCCAAGAAAGGTGACAACGCTCTCTTGAAGAACTACAGACCGATTTCCCTTCTTAGCCGTGTCTACGTGCTGTTTTCGAGAGTCATTACGAATCGTCTCGCGCGCAGACTTCACGACTTCCAGCCTCCCGAACACTATTCCGAAGATATTCCGGACGTCAGTCTGAGCGAGATTAGAATGGCTCTCCAGCACCTTAAAAACGGTAAGGCCCCAGGCGAGGATGGAATTACAGCGGAGCTTCTGAAAGCGGGTGGAAGACCGGTACTTGAAGTCCTTCAGAAGCTCTTTAATTCCGTCCTCCATGGTGGCATTACACCGGAGGCGTGGAGCAGAAGTGCGGTGGTCTTGTTCTTCAAGAAAGGTGACAACGCTCTCTTGAAGAACTACAGACCGATTTCCCTTCTGAGCCGTGTCTACGTGCTGTTTTCGAGAGTCATTACGAATCGTCTCGCGCGCAGACTTCACGACTTCCAGCCTCCCGAACAAGCCGGTTTCCGAAATGGCTTTAGCACAATAGACCACATACATACCCTTCGGCAAATTGTACAGAATTCCGAAGAGTACAATTTGTCACTATGTCTGGCGTATGTGGACTATGAGAAAGCCTTTGATTCCGTCGAAATTTGGGCGGTGCTGCAGTCCCTTCAGCGGTGCCAAGTTGACTGTCGGTATATCGAAGTGTTGAAGTGCTTGTACAGTAGGGCTACGATGGCTATCCGAGTACAGAATCAGAGTACGAAACCTATCCAATTGCAGAGAGGTGAGGGCAGGGTGACGTCATATCCCGAAACTCTTCACCGCTGCATTGGAAGACGTTTTCAAGCTTCTGGACTGGAAAAGATACGGTATCAACATCAATGGCGAGTACATCACTCACCTTCGATTTGCCGACGATATAGTCCTTATGACAGAATCGCTGGAGGACCTAAGCACTATGCTCAATGACCTCGATAGTGTTTCCCAACGGATAGGTCTTAAGATGGACATGGACAAAACAAAGATCATGTTCAATGTCCATGTCACACCTATGCCGGTAGTTGTTGGGAACACTAAGCTCGAAGTTGTTGACGAGTATGTTTACCTGGGACAAATAGTCCGACTAGGTAAGTCCAACTTCGACCGAGAGGTCAATCGACGGATTCAACTCGGCTGGGCAGCGTTCGGGAAATTACGGCACATCTTCTCGTCAGGTATACCTCAAAACTTGAAAACGAGACCGTACACCCAGTGCGTGTTGCCAGTGATAACATACGGTACTGAGACGTGGTCCTTCACTACTGGCCGGATGAGGAAGCTCAAGGTCGCTCAGCGAGCTATGGAGAGGGCTATGCTCGGAGTTTCTCTGCGTGATAAACTTAGGAATGAGGATATCCGCAGTAGAACCAGATTAACCGACATAGCCCAACGGATTAGTAAGCTGAAGTGGCAGTGGGCCGGCCATATAGCTCGAAGAACCGACAACCGATGGGGAAGAAAGGTTCTCAAGTGGCAGCATTGTACCGGTAGGCGAAGTGTAGGGCGTCCCCCCACGAGATGGAGTGACGACCTGGTAAGACATGCAGGAAGTCGATGGATGCAGGTGGCTCAGGACCGTACTTTGTGGCATTCTTTGGGGGAGGTCTATGTTCAGCAGTGGACTTGTGAAGGGCTGTAATGAAATGATGAATGAGTAAAAGAAACCATATTTAAACTTGTAATAATATATTCATTTATTCGTCTATAGTAATAGCTCCACTGTTGATATCGTCAATAATGTCATGTGGGGGCCTGCCATCAATGGTGCAGCCAACAGATTGTGCTGTGCCAAGAATCTCCTTTACTGTTCCAGACAACTCTCGTGCCATTGAACGTGGTCGCATGGTTTTAGCAATGCTAATTACATCCTCAAGTGTTATATTGCCATTGTGTTTGACTGAAAAACAAAAATGAGTTATTATACAAGATGTTAAAGTACAATGGAATGTGATGATTATGTTATTATAAAATAAGAACAATACAATTTTAAGCAACTAAAATCCTCCAACAACTTATATAGAATAAGTGCACTCGATGGTAAGTGGATGCTGTGGCTCATAGACATCCACATCCACATTTATCCGTAATTAAGAATCAAAATGCAAATGCGTTGTCACCCCTAAGAACTAAGATGAAATGCCTCACTTCCAGTAAAAAGAGTCTTCGGTACTCTACACTCACCATAAGAAACACAGCAGTATTAAGCTGCTATTTTACACTGGTATTCTATGAGAGCGTGGTTCTAAGCCGGTCGAGCCAACAAATTCATGATACAAATTGTATGGAATTATTTGCAATCCAATCTGTCTAAATGCAGTTCCAACTACATGGGTTGCATAGATGCTAAGTATGTTAAAGTGGATTTAGAAATGGAAGCACATAATATATTTCCTCCCCTTATTATTATGGCACCAACAGCGTTATCTGAATTAAAAACAAAAAGGAGCAGTGTGAAATATCTATCATGCTATTTGTTGTGTTGTGTGCTATATTACTACTTTTAATCAATGAAATAATATTTTGAAAGAATCAGTGTCTTATCTAGACACTATCCATGTCACTATTATAAGCTTTTATGATTCCAAATTAAAGAAATGAGATATTCAGTATCCAAATCCCTATTTGTAAAAAAAAAATTGTGCTTCTTATTAACATTTAATAATTGGACATTAACAGGAATCACATGCATTTCATTTTTCATCACATTTAACACAAACAACTGTAGCCAAACTACATGCAGTTAGTCACCACTGCATGCAGTTAAACATGCTAACTGCACACATGCAGTCAATCTCATATGTCAGTTTGGCTAGCAAGAAACAACCTTTCAACAAAATTCTGGAATTGCTACTTGTGTTACTCATCTGCTCATAAATTAATATTCTTTTTTTTTCTATCACTCAGCACTTCACACTGATATCTATGTGATATTGAACAACACTAGATAATTGATGAGATTTAATTACTTATATTTTTTCGTTCCTATTCATGGATAAAGGGTTTTAGAAGGCATAAAGGTTTTTAAGTTTGGACACTTTAGTATCCACAGAGGTTTGGATGGTTATTTATTATAATATACTTTCCTAAAATAATGGTTCATTGGATTATTTTATTGTTGAAACTGGAAATATTGACATAGCTTAGGTGTGGTAGCTTTGTGAAGATGTATGGATGTATGTCACTCTTTTACACAAAAACTACCAAATGGATTTTTATCATCAAGAATAACACATAGGCTAAAATTCATAAAGATTTTGTGCAAATTGGCCAAAATATAACAATAAATGTTAAGTATGTTGGTATAAAATCTGTCATGTGCGAGCTATTTTGGCATTTGCTGTGCAAAAACTCAGTAAGAGTTACATGAATATAAGGTATGGTGGAATTGTTTCTCCTAATTTTAAAAGTAACGACAATGTAAAAAAGTGCCGGGGAAGAAAATAGGATAGCTTTGATCATGGAACTCAACCCTAAAGAGGGTGATGGAATTTACTATGAAATTGCAATTATTGATGGATCACCTATGGCAAGTATGTTATTGAATGATCCCTTCAATGCCAGTATAACCAATTTCAACTGTATATAATATATATATACATAATCATGATTTAGGCCATTATAGCCTGATCCAATATAAGATGCATAGTGCAGAGATTGAATAAATGAGACAATAATTCTAATTATAATAATAATATACTAACTGTTCTTTTGCTTCTTTCTGTCACGGGGTGGCTCCTTTAGAGCTCTGATGATAAGAGCAGCAGCTGATGGAACAACAGATATTTGTGCCTGCCTATTTTGTACAATAAGTTGAACTGTAATTTTCAGACCCTTCCAGTCACCTGTAGCCTTGGCAATGTCATCACCAACCTTTTTGGGAGACTGAAGCACAAAAGATTAAACATTCACATATATGAGTGACCATTCTTCGATATATTTTATTGCAACAAATAAAAATGTAAAATATGCACAGAAACAAAGTTATGTTGATAAGACTATAATATATAAATAATTATATTTACGTTGCGCGGCAGTCTTGGCCTGGTCCGCGACTCCTTATTGGACATTCGGAGTAGCCGCGACAGGGAAAGGGCAAGACCGATCCTGAGTCGCGGGTTCCTTCCATCCGCCACCCGGAAGGACGCGCCTGGTAGGGTGGCCCCCCCAGGATCGTAAGTAACAAGACAGTTAACAAATTTATTAAAACAAATGACATGGCATTAACTGATATTTCATTTACTATGAATTCCTTTTGTCTTGTTACCAAAAATATGTGATAAACACAACTGACCGCCACGCAAAACTTTGTAAGGTTATGATATAGACAAGAAAATAAACTCACGAGACCAAGAGGACCAATTTTAGGAGCCAACGACGAGGTAGCACCAACTTCTCCGCCAACACATCTCAAGTTAACTAGAGAAACAAATATAAATTTTTAAATCACTTCTAAATAATCGCACATAATTTACCAAAATTAACGCACGATACTCGTCTTACCGATTTTAATTTCGTTTGGATCGAACTTAGGCGGCATTGTCAAATGATATTACGAATTTATCACTTATATTTAAAATAAATCCAAGTAGATTACTTCGGATTTAAAAAGCGAGTCTGAAAACGTTCTGTAAACGCTGACAGCCTCGCTAGAAAAGAAAAAATAAAAAATCACAGAGCACGAAGCAATAACCACATCACACAGACTAATATGATGCCATGTTGCCATGTACATATGATGCAGCCAAGGAGGTTATAATATAATCATGGAGTATAGAGTACTCCATGAATATAATATAGGGAGTGTGCGCCACAGAACACTAATACCCTTAGGTGTGCGCTTGGAACGTTGTAACCATTCCTCAATTTTCTTAGAAAGAGAGGCACCGAGTTTGGTATTTTATCTCCTTCTAACATTGATAAATGCTTCCACAAAATAAAAACATTACCAACGTTTAGACAATTATTGATTTAAAATAATATTTTAGACGTATGCTAGAACGATAATCTTACAATTTTATCGCTAATCATAGTTGGTATATTCCATACTGTATTTTAATTAAGCTTATTACTAAATAACACGAAAAAAAACCACTAAAACACTTTAATGAATGAAATTTAATGTCAAAAAAATTAATTCTAATGTAATTTTAAATGGAGAGAAACTGACTCTTGTAGATATCACCATTTTTCTTGGAATCACATTACATGCACAGCTTCGATGGAGCCACCATATATCAAAATTAGCAAGCAGACTTAATTCTGCAGCATATGCTGTAAAAAAGTTTAGAAGTCTTACCAGTGTCGAAACAGCTAGACTAGTTTACATTCTGTGTACTAAATATCGGGAATTTGTCAATAAAACAAAAAATTTAGCTCATTCAGCGAATTTTTTTATGGCTTCTATCGACTCAAAACGTTTTCCTCGAAGTGGTAATTTTAACTTGGGAAATTAAAAAAAGTCAGACGGAGCCATATCAGGTGAATACGGTGCTTGGTCGAGAACTTTTGTTGAATTTTTCGCTAAAAACTCTTTCACTATAATGGCTGTGTGTGATGGTGCATTATCATGGTGCAGCATCCATGAGTTGTGTTGCCACAAACCTGGACGTTTTCGGCGGATACTCTCACGCAAACGCTTCATGACGCCTAAATAATATTCTTTATTCACTGTTTCTCCCTTTGGAAGGAATTCGGAGTGAACCACACCACGGTAGTCAAAAAAAACTGTCAGCATCACCTTGATTTTGGAGCGACTTTGCTGCGGTTTTTTGGGTTTCGGCACGTTTTCGAGACGCCATTCTGAAGACTGTTGGCTTGTTTGCATGTCGTACTCATAAACCCATGTCTCGTCGCCAGTTATTATACGTTTCATAAAGGTCGGATCCGTAGAAGCTCGGGAAACCATGTCTTCAGCGACATGCTTTCGCTGCGCTCTTTGAACAAAATTGAGCTCTTTTGGAACTAGTCGAGCGGCGACGCGTTTCATGCCTAAAATGTCAATGAGAATGTTGTGGACGGACTTAAAAGATATGTTCACCTCACTAGCCAACTCTGTCAGACTCGACGTCGATTTTCGAGCACTAGCTTCTTGATTTTGTCGATGTTTTCTTTGGTTGTAGCGGTTGAAGGTCTAACAGAACGAGACAAGTCTACTACTACTTCTCGGCCTTCTTTAAAAGCCTTATACCATTCATAAGACCTTGTTTTCGATATACACGATTCGCCGTAGGTATTTCGCAACATTTTTAGTGATTCACCACATGAAATATCATTCGAAACACAAAATTTAAGGCACACTCTTTGTTAAACTATGACCAACAAAAAGTGTAGTTTAAAACAAATTAAATGACAGATCCCGCTCAAACATTGCGCGCTAAATCAGTACAGTGCTACCAACATGCAGTAAAAAAATTAGAACGACCTCTTTTACGCGGGTCTTTTTATTGACATATTCCCGATACTTTTTACACAGAGTTGTACTTTAGCTATTTCCATAAAATAATATAATGGTATTTTGCTATGGGGACACGCAGCTGACACTGAAATTATATTTGTTTTACAGAAGAGGACCATAAGAGCGATTTATGATTTAAAGCCTAAAGAGTCGCTGCGACAAAAATTTAAGGAAATTAATATATTAACTTTGGCTTCTCAATACATTTATGAAAATTTAATGTACCTACACAAAAATAAAAGTAGTTTTATAAAAATAACTGATATTCATTCTGTAAATACTAGGAACAGACACAAGCTAGTAGTACCAGTTACTCGACTCCATCGAGTCAGTAATTCATTCTTGGGGCGATGTATATGCCTTACATCAAAACTCCAGAAAATATACAAAATTTGATCTGCTGAAAGTTCAAAAACTTTAATAAACTAAGTTTGTATAAAAAAAAAATTATTATAATATTAAAGAATTAATGGATGATAATAACCTCTGGAAATGAGGTGATCACGACCAAGCTATTTCTAATTTGTTGTGGGGTTAATTTGTGAAACATATATGATTGTAAGCTGTTATTTAAAAAAACGTTCCTCTGGGTTTGTTGCTGGTTCTTCCCAGGACAGAGATTTTTTTCGAACCAGTGGTAATTAAACAAAAGAGTGACTTTCAATAAGTATTATTTATAATCTATATTGAATAAAAACTTTCTGTTTCTGTTACAGGAATGTTCTTCCCCTAAAAACTAGGAAGTGCATTTTACGCTATAGATGACAACGCTACTTTAAAATTTGACGTTGTCAAATGAATGAATATATAGTTTTTTTTTTATAGAATAGGGTGATAAACGAGCACACAGTCCACCGGATGGTAAATGCTTGCTGTGGCCCATAGACATCTACATCTATCCTAGTTTGCGAATCAAAATGAAGATGCGTAGTCACCCGTGAGGACAAAGATGGAATGCCTTTTTTCCAGTAAAACGAGTTCTCTACACTCACCATACGAAATACATCAGTGTTAAGCTCCTATTTTACGCTGGTATTCTGTTAGTGCGTGGTCCTTCCCCGGTCGAGCCGACTCATTTATGCTACAACTATACTATACTTATATAGCTGCAGCATGGCTCTACCATGTAGAAAACGCCTTGTGCTAATCATTCGCTAAATCTACGTGGAGCGCACTCACTTAGGGAGCGTTAATTCAAGTTTAACTTTTTTTCGGAACAGTAGAAAGAGTTTACAGGTTCTTTTCATCATCCACACGTCAATAGGAAACTTTAATAAAAAGTGTAGGCGTATCCGTCAAAACACTCTCAGAGACAAAATGAATTGCTCATCATGACGTTGTTAAACCACTGCAGAATAATTAAAAAAAAACTAGTATAAACACTCAAAGATATATATGATCCCAGCACCAACAGAGAAAACGTCTATATAAAAGAAGTAGTATCTACACTCTTACCAGCTTTGTGTGACTTCAGTTTTTTATGCCGTCTTTGCTTTTGGTGTAAAATCCTAATAGAAGTTAGTTAGACACAAAAGCAAATACTAAATAATATAATTATAATCTATATTATCACTGGACAAGTATGAGATAAAAATCCAAAGCCCAAAAATTTTTCTTCAAAGCCATTAAGAAAAGTTACGAATACAAATGAGTATACGCACTACACAAAAGTTCATTCAAATAATGACAGATGCAAACTTGTGGACGTAGCGGCGGCCCGGAACGGTGTGCTGGGTACAGGGGGCGAAATATAATATGAAAATATTGCTCAGTCGATCGGAAAAAATATTTATACTATCATTATCATCATCATCATTACAGCCCTTCACAAGTCCACTGCTGAACATAGGCCTCCCCCAAAGAATGCCACAAAGCACGGTCCTGAGCCACCTGCATCCATCGACTTCCTGCATGTCTTACCAGGTCGTCACTCCATCTCGTGGGGGGACGCCTTCCACTTCGCCTACCGGTACGAGGCTGCCACTCGAGAACCTTTCTTCCCCATCGGTTGTCGGTTCTTCGAGCTATATGGCCGGCCCACTGCCACTTCAGCTTACGAATCCGTTGGGCTTTGTCGGTTATTCTGGTTCTACTGCGGATACCCTCATTCCTAAGTTTATCACGCAGAGAAACTCCGAGCATAGCCCTCTCCATAGCTCGCTGAGCGACCTTGAGCTTCCTCATACGGCCAGCAGTGAAGAACCACGTCTCAGTTCCGTAAGTCATCACTGGCAACACGCAATGGTTGTACAATTTCGTTTTCAGGTTTTGAGGTATGTCTGACGAGAAGATGTGTGAAAGTGAGTGATGTACTCGCCATTGATGTTGATACCTTATCCTTTCCAGTCCAGAAGCTTGAAAACGTCTTCCAATGCAGCGGTGAAGAGTTTCGGGGATATGACGTCACCCTGTCTTACACCTCTCTGCAATTGGATAGGTTTCGTACTCTGGTTCTGTACTCGGATAGCCATCGAAGCCCTACTGTACAAGCACTTCAACACTTCGATATACCGACAGTCAACTTGGCACCGCTGAAGGGACTGCAGCACCGCCCAAATTTCGACGGAATCAAAGGCTTTCTCATAGTCCACATACGCCAGACATAGTGACAAATTGTACTCTTCGGACTTCTGTACAATTTGCCGAAGGGTATGTATGTGGTCTATTGTGCTAAAGCCCTTTCGGAAACCGGCTTGTTCGGGAGGCTGGAAGTCGTGAAGTCTGCGCGCGAGACGATTCGTAATGACTCTCGAAAACAGCACGTAGACGCGGCTCAGAAGGGAAATCGGTCTGTAGTTCTTCAAGAGAGCGTTGTCACCTTTCTTGAAGAACAAGACCACCGCACTTCTGCTCCACGCCTCCGGTGTAATGCCACCATGGAGGACGGAATTAAAGAGCTTCTGAAGGACTTCAAGTACCGGTCTTCCACCCGCTTTCAGAAGCTCCGCTGTAATTCCATCCTCGCCTGGGGCCTTACCGTTTTTAAGGTGCTGGAGAGCCATTCTAATCTCGCTCAGACTGACGTCCGGAATATCTTCGGAATAGTGTCGGATGAGACTCGCTCTTGGATCGTTACTCACACT